CTTTCTTTCTTTCTTTCTTTCTTTCTTTCTTTCTTTCTTTCTTTCTTCTTTCTCTTTTATTTATTTATTTGATTTATTTGATTTGTCAATAGCTTACAAAATAATAGGCATAAGTATATACATAGTTATGAATACATGAAATGGGTACATATAAGAAAAATAAAGAAACAATAGGACAGGGACGGTAGGCATGTTGGTGCGCTTATGCACGCCCCCTACAGACCTTTTAGGAAAGGGGTGAGGTCAATAGTAGACAGTCTAAGGTTAAAGTTTTTGGGGTTTGGGGAAGAAACCACAGAGTCAGGTAGAGTATTCCAGACATTGACCACTCTGTTGCTGAAGTCGTATTTCCTGCAATCAAGTTTGGTGCGGTTAACCTTGAGTTTGTATCTATTGTGTGCTCTTGTGTTGTTATGGTTGAAGCTGAAGTATTCATTGACAGGTAAGTCATTGCAATGTATGATTTTATATACCATACTTAGATCAGACCAAAGACGGCGTAATTCAAGGTTTTTTAGGTCGAGAATTTCAAGTCTGGTGGCATAAGGTATTCTGCAACGAATAGAGGAGTGGAGAACTCTTCTTGTGAAATATTTCTGGACTTCTTCGCTTTCTTCTTTTTATTTCTTTTTTCTTTCTTTCCTTCCTTCCTTCCTCCCTTTCAACCTGCAGCAAGGAGAAGACCATGTTCAATGTCCCAAAGGTCCTTTTTTTCAAGAGGCACTATCTTGACTGGATGGTGGGAGCTGAAGAAGCTTCTTGGATGAGAAGCAAAATGTCTTCAAAGAAAAACCAGAAAGTCCAGTTCCCTCTTGAAAAGAGCACCTCTGGGACAACCATGACCTGGATGACTCCATAGACCATGCTCAATGGTTAGAGACAATGGCTCAATGGCAGAGGGATAGAAGGATAGTCAGTATGACCATCTTCTGATGAAGCTTCTTGGATGAGAAGCGAAATGTTTCCTTCCTCTTCCTCAAGGACGAAAAGCAACTTTGAGACAACTATGGCCTGGATGATTGAGAATCTCCACAGATAACAGAAACTGCTTCTCCAGAACCAGTTTCTACAGCAGAAAACCCTTGTATGGATAACACCACTGTCCTTTTATTATGATTTCACAGGTGATGAAGGAATGGGCTGAAGCTGACAACGAAGCCAAAAACTTGCCGAAAACAGACCGGCAAGCACTGAACGAGGTGAGATTGGCCAACCATCTCATTGGACTCCCATCCCTTTGTATTTTAATGTTTGTTTGGGGAATTTAATAATGACATTTTTAAAAAATTAAATCCATGTCAAGATTAGGTGAACTAGTAGATGGACCAGCAGATCCTTCACTTGTGGGTTTCTTGACCCAGGGCAATACCGTTTGTCCTTTCCATTCAGGTGTTAGAATTAGCTTTCAATTTCCATGGATGCTGCTTTGGGTTTTGTAGGGTTTACAATTCAAGTTAGTTTCAATGGCTTGTTTTAAACGGTTTAGCTGAGCTGGAATGACAAGGCCCTTCTGTTTTCTCTATCTGTTGTTTGATTCTATTCTGTGTTTATAATAGTTGCATTCTTTTTTTTATTATTATTATTCGAAAACAACTTGAATGGGTTCTACTCTGAGAGAAAGCCCAAACATGTTTTTACCAAAAACAGAAGTTGAATCAACCCCCATGGCTTCGTATCTGTTTCTTTTGGCCTGTCTGTGAGCAGATGTTGTAGCTTGTCTTTAGCCTACATCCATTGATAGCTGCCAGTTTCTAAACATTGATTATTTTTTTTAAAAAAAGAGTAATTTGTAATAAATCTCCAAATATCTTGGACTAACCTCCCTTATAGAAATTGGTCTCGCAACCTCCCCTGATGATCTTTGGTTCCCTTCTTAAAAACCTTAAACTTAGGTATCTTAAAAAGCTGAGGTGTTCATGCTGCTCTTTCAAAAATTTTGGAATCTACCATTTTTTCATACAGTAGAGTTGTTAAAATGTGTGGCAATCGTTTAATTGTCCTTTTGACAAAGTATTTTAAGCCATCCTGGCTTTTTAATTAACAGCCAGGATATAAACTCTCTAAACACATTCAAGTTAACTTAAACATCTGCTTCCAGGAGAATAAGCTCTGCATGGAATGCTTTGTTGTGTTTGTGTTTCATTGTCTCTATAGGTGGCTTGAGTAATTTTAAGCCTTTAATGCTAATTTTATTGCGTTTCAAGGAATTCGATGCTGTTGCTTTGCTACTGAACTATCCTGGCCCTTAGGGAGTTAAAAGGGAGTCTGTATATGTCTGCTCCAGGAATATAATTTTATATTTTGCTGTAATAAAGCTTCCAGGGTCTTTCACCCAAGGTTTTTCCCAAGTCCATGTTCACCTACCTTTTTTTAAAATAGATTTTTATTGTGTTTTTCCAGAAATACAAATCTCATTCATGTTTTTAAAAGTACAATGGCATCGACAAATATATATATCGTATAAATCTTATTCTATACATTTTTTCTTTATATACATCAACACATATCTATTGTATCTATCTATATTTGTTTCTATCCTATATATGTTATATTCTATATATTTATCATATTACTCTCTTAAGGCCTCTTAAAATAATTACATTAATCTAATCTTATTTTTTTATATCTATTCTCTAACCATTCATACCATTTATGCCATATTGCATAATATTCGGAGTTGTCCTCTTTCATTTCTAGCATAAGCATGTCCATCTCTGCACATTCCAGTATTTTGTGTATAATTAACTCGTCTGGGGGAGTGTTAGGTCCTTTCCACATTTGTGCAAAAGCTATTCTGGCTGCCGTCAGGATATGCAAAATAATGTATTTTATCTTTTGGGGGTATTGATCTGTAATTATTCCTAATAGGAAAAATTCCGGTTTAAGTTCAATTTTTTATTTTAATCCAGTATTTCCTGGTCTTGGGGCATAGCCACCACATATGATAGAAGGTACCTGCCTTTTAATGATACAGTATTCATGCATCAAAATCACGTGAAGTGTTAGGACTGCTTTATAATGACTTGGTAAGACCACACTTAGAATACTACATCCAGTTTTGGTCATCACATTATAAAAAAGATGTTGAGATTCTGGAAAGAGTGCAGAGAAGAGCAACAAAGATTATTAGGGGGCTTCTAAAATATATGAATGGCTGTAGAAATTGAATATGTCTAGGCTAGTGAAAACAAGAACTAGGGGTGATATAATAGTGGTATTCCAATATTTGAGGGGCTGCCACAAAGAAGAGGGAGTCAGCCTATTCTTCAAAGCACTGGAAGACAAGACAAGAAGCAATGGATTGAAACTAATCAAGGAGAGAAGCAACCTAGAACTAAGGAGAAATTTGCTGACAGTCAAAACAATTAATCAGTGGAACGACTTGGCCTCCAGAAGTTGTGAATGCTCCAACACTGGACGTTTTTAAAAAGATGTTGGATAACCATTTGTCTGATGTATGGTTTCCTACCTAGGCAGGGGGTTGGACTAGAAGACCTCCAAGGTACCTTCTAACTCTTATTCTGAAATATCCTGAACGGCTTCTATCTTCTTCTTGCTTTCTAGCACTTCCAATCTGTCCTCCAGACACTGGAAGAGCAGGTGGCTGGAGAACGCCAGCGGCTGGTGGAGACCCATCTGGCCCGGGTGGTAGCACAGCTGAATGATAACCGTCGGGCGGCACTGGAGAACTACTTGACTGCTGTACAGAACGACCATGCCCAGGTAGTTCAAAGGGTAGAGGAAGGCAAATGTTCGCTTGGAGAACGGAATGTGTGATTTGTACGTAAGCTGAGCTGAGAGAATGAGAAGCAGATTCTGCATGCGGATTGCAAACAAAGTAGACCGTGATCTTGGGACAGCACCTATTCACACCAGAGCAAGTGTTCTGACCTAGGCTTTCCAAAAGCACAAAGCCGACTCCTCTTCCCGATAAAACCCCTTTTAGTTAGTTTAAAGTGAATTCCTCTCCCGCAAAGTCCCCAGCCAACAGTCTTTTAAGAGATTTCACATCTACAGACCTTTATCAGGCTTGGAGAGCTGCCAGGCCGATATCTTTCAAGTGCCACTCTGTAGCAGACAATAGTTGGCAAGGAGTCAGGAACAGATCTTCACCCTAATGAATTGAACTAATTGCCTCCTGCAAACACCACTCTCCTTTTCGCTCCTCTTTATTCCCTCTGGGAGGGGCCATTCACCATCCACCTGTAGCTTTACTCCCGAATTGACCCTTGTTCCTTAGCTGCTCCCTTCTCCTGGCAGCTCTGCGCATGCGCACACTGGGAACAGGCTCCAGCTGTTCTTCTGCCTCACTGATCTCTGACTCTGAAGGCAGCTGATAAACTGTCTGACGGCCCTGGCCCCATCTCTGCCTCCGATGCAGAGCCCTCGTCAGAGCCTTCCCGAGACTCCAGGACTGGCCCATGTTCCTCCCCAACCCACTAACTGTCTGAATCTGCTGCCAATTCTGCTGGCCACTGGCGGGCCACAACAGCAAGTGTATAGAAGAGAAAGATGCTTTTCCCTAGCTTTCTGTTTCTTGCATGCAAGTGATGCAAGAGAAACATTATTTAAGCAATAGAGTTCAAGATCATGTAAAGAAGTATTTTCCCACCTTCCCAGCTCTGCGGACCACCAGCGACAGCAGGGAGGGGGAGCGGATGGTTTTGTGCACACACCGTTGATGCAAATGCAACTTTGCATGCTTGCACACTCGGCCACTGCTTGCACAGACCGGTTCCCAATGGGCCACGGACCAGTACCAGGCCACGGACCAGAGGTTGGGGACCCCTGATGTGAAGTGTAGTCATGCAGTGAAGAAGCAGTTAGTGATGTCACCACCCCATGATGCCCTGAAAGTGGCAAAGAGCAGAATGATGGAGCAGGAAAGTGAGATAACACTCACTGTGCATGTGGCGTTAGTTAGAAATTATCTGTTCCCTTGTATGAACAACTTATGGCAATATGCTACATTCCAGCTCCTGAAATCCTCAGCCAGAATAGCCACAGGCCATATCTAGATGAGGATTTAGGTCATCCAGCACATCTGGAAAGCAGCGTTGAAGAACGCTGATGCAGACAAGGTAACTGCAGAATAGCAAGTGGGGAGCATCATTCCCCCCACCCCACCCCCTACCCCCCCCCCCACTCCCATTCTCTGTCTTGGTTTCCTGCTAAAATCCCAGAAGTCACATCCAGGCAATGACATCCAGAAATAAAACAGAGTTCGATTCCTCCCACTTTCTTCTCTGCTTGTGTTCCTAATTCTAAATTGGGGGTAGGATAATGTGGTGGTGGTGTTTTTTTGTTTTTTTTTCAAGCGCTCTGCCAAAAACGTTGTCTGCCTTTTTTTCTTTCCTTTTTTCACTCATTTTGATTTCTTTTTTTCAAAGAATTTTTCAGGGAAATTCTCCTGGGTAAAATACAGTTTTTGTTATCCTCCGTGAGTCTGGTTGTTTTCTTGCAGACGGTTCATTACGCAAACTAGGGAACATCATCTGTGCTAGTTCTGATGATGTTTACCCAGACTGGGTAATGAATTTTCTGCAAGAAAACAACCGAGCAATGAGAGCACCATTTCAACCCTGCAGCTAGAAGTATTCTCCTTTATCCATTTTATTAAAATTTATTAAAATTAATTCTATTAATATTTATTAGTATTAATCAAATATCAACTTATTAAAATTAATCAATTTAAATATTAATTTTCTTATCCTTGTTAGTGGGATGGACACATTCTTCCTAATGATACAGAATACCAAAATGGGGATCCTACCATGTTAAATATATCTGGGTCCATATGGAAAGCACTCACAATTTTTGTTTTTCTTGTGGCCCCACTTGTTTATTTATTTATTTTTATTTATTTATTTGATTTGTCAACCACTTTCAAGATAATAGGTATAAGTATAAACATGAGTAAGAATACATGAAATAGGTACAATTAAATGGGGACATTAGGACAGGGACGCTAGGCACGGTGGTGCACTTATGCATGCCCCTTACAGACCTCCTAGGAATGGGGTGAGGTCAATAGTGGATAGTGTGAGGTTAAAGGAGTGGAGGGTTTGAGGATGTAACAACAGAGTCAGGTAGTGCATTCCAGGCATTGACCACTCTGTTGCTGAAGTCGTACTTTCTGCAATCCAGTTTGGAGCGGTTTACATTGAGTTTGTATCTGTTGTGTGCTCTTGTATTGTTGTGGTTGAAGCTGAAGTAGTCATTGACTGGTAGGGCATTGCAGCAGCTAATTTTGTGTACTACACTTAAGTCCAACCGTAGGTGGCGTAGTTCAAGGTTGTCCAAGCCCAAAATTTCAAGCCTGGTGATATGGGATATTCTGTTGTGAGCACAGGAGTGTAATACTCTTCTCGTGAAATACTTCTGGACTCGCTCGATTGTATTAATGTCCGATATACAGTAAATATATCCTGTAAACATCATGCAAAGTCTAGTCTCCCATCACTTTTGTTAAGCTCCTGATGGGCACATAGATGTCCATGATCCATGTTGTCCATCCAGGTTCTCTCCAGGTTGGCAATACCACAGAGGGTTACCGCTGCCTTCTTTCCCCAGTCTTTTTCAGCTTTCCAGTCTAGTGCACAGCCCTTCCAAGTCACATATTCTGTTTAGCTTTTTCAAAATCAACCAAAGCTTGGTTTTGGGTTGTGCTTCCACCTGTACTTATCTGTGCCTGAAAAGGAGGAAACCAAGAGAGGCCAGTAAGAGAATCCATCTGCTCAAAGGCCAACTACAGTAGAACTTCTGATCACAACCATAATTTGTTCCATAACTTCGGCAATTTCTTCGTCTTCTAATGTTTCGTCTTCAGGAATATCTGGGTCAGGGGTCATGTTTGATCACCACCTGAGTATGCACTCGTGACCAGTTTCAAAAATTTTGTGAATTTTTTGGTCGGAACCCGGTTTGGTCGTGGTCGGAAGCATTCGTAACCAGAGGTTCTACGTGTATTGAGAATCGGGCAAGGAACGGTAGACAATCAACCAAGATTCAACTAATTTAGGCCACACTCTTCTTTTGACACAGCCTGATCGCATCCTGGCAGCTCTGAAGAGATACGTACGGGCCGAACAGAAAGATCAGCGCCATACTCTCCGCCATTACCAGCACGTGGCAGCGGCTGACCCCGAAAAGGCCGAACAAATGAAGTTCCAGGTATGGTTTTCGTCTGCCTATGGCCGCCATCTTGCATCTTTGCAATTAACATGTTTCATGCTGGCTGGGGAAGTCTGTGAGTTGAAGTCCACATATATTCAAGTGGCCAACTTTGAGAAACACTGTTCTAGAAGGAAACATTTTCCGTTGTTGTGTGTTTTCCCAGGTGTATACTCATCTCCATGTCATTGAGGAACGGATGAACCAAAGTCTTGCGTTGCTGTACAAGAATCCCCAGCTAACTCAGGAGCTCCGAGGAGATATAGGTACATGGGTCAGATCCTTCATATATCCCAAATATCATCCCTTCTCAACTCTTAAATTAAGTCTTCCGTTCTTCACTCACCCTATTGCTTGTAGACTAGGATGCCTTCCCAATTAAGTCAGCCTGCTCTTAAGTACTATACCAGGGGTCTGCAACCCACAGCTCTGGAGCCACATGCAGCTCCAGCTCCCTGTCGCAAGTCGGCACTGCAATTGTGAGAAGAGCTTCCGGTTAGGGAAGGGAAAAAGCACAGAGTGCCAGGAGGAAATTCTATGGCAAGGGGTGGGTCTTCCGGTCAGCTGTACAATTGATAGGGCTTTCAGTTAGGACACATAAAGGAAACAGGATGCCAAGCTAGGAGGGGGACTCTATGGTGGGGGAAGTGGACGTCCAGTCGGCACCAGAATTGAATGGGGGGCGTTTCCAGTTAGGACCTTTGTGGCTCCCAGGAGACACATTTCCTAGTGTGGGAAATGGGTCAAAATGGCTCTTTGAGTGTTTAAGTTGCTGACCCCTGTACTATACCAACAGCGGATACTTCAGTACTTAGTTTGATTGGTTACTTAAGTTGATATTCTCATAGTATCATTTCTACTACCCAGGGTGAGTCATTTTCGAAATACTTTTATATGTATCCAGAGGAAGGAAGAGGCACGGTAGAACGGCCCCGATTTTACTGTTATGAACTGAAGAGCTAAAGAAGCTTCTTGGATGAGAAGCAAAATGTTTTCAAGGGAGAAAAAACAAACAAACAAGGAAGTCAGTTGCCTTTTGGGAAAGCACTTTTGGGGCAACCAAGAGCTGGATGATGGAGAATCCCCATGGATACTGTAGAATGACCTATTATGAGAAAAAGGATCTATATAAAGGGAAATGATAGGTGGATCACACAGTCATCCAGATGTTTAGGCTGAATTTAGCATTTTTATACACCTTGAGTGCTTCCCAAAAGGCCTGGAATTGCTATTTCTTCTTCAATTGTAAAATACCTCGGTTTAGCCCAGTTGTTTATCTGCAAAGTGCATCTGTCCTACGGGTGAAGGGCTAGATTTTTCTCAGAAGGGAAATTTTCTTATAAAAGAATGAATGAATCTGAGCATCTCTTGAAATAAAACCTTTGCAAAAAAAAAAAAATTGGGACATCTTGTAGCAGGCAAGGTAGAGTCTCAAAACTCTTAAGATAGGGCTCCAAACAATCTACTTCCCCTTTCTCTAACTTCTAGAGGAGCTCCTGCGATCCGAACGGGTGTCCACCAATGACCTGCTTACTACCTCCATCTCCGAGACCCGTACCACTGAAGAGTTCTTACCCATGGACAGTGGGGAGGATCTAGCTGCGGAGACCCGTGATGGAGAAGGTGGGTCAGATCAGTTGCCCCTCACTGCTTTCTCAAGTCTTTGCCAAGGGTCAGGAAAGTGGAAAGAGGAAACCACCTAGAAATACAGCGGTGGGATCCAACTGGTATAACAACCAGTTTGGAGAAGCGCGCACCTGTGCATCGGGGTTATAAGTGTCTTCTTTGCGGTCCGTCATAACTTTGAATGGTCAACTAAGCAAGGGGTACTTAAAACGAGGCCTACCTGACATCACAGCCTTTACTTACACTGTCTGGGAATGATGTAAGAAGTTTTTCAATGCATCTGTTTGAGCACCAGATTTGTAGAAGGTGCCTTTGTGTATGAAAAGCAAATGTAGGAGTTGCATTCACCCAGGGGTGGGCTTCAAATTTTTTAGCAAGGGGCTCTCTGCCATAATGATTGGCTGGGTGGGTGTGGCTGGGTGGTCATGGGACTGGGTGGGTGTGGCCAACTCAATGTCTCTTCTTTGCCCTAATTACCTAAAAACAGGTAATATACCAAAAAGTTGTTCATTATTTCGTGCATTTAATACTTAAATAAAAGACTGGGTGAAACCAGCTTAATAGCAGTGACTGTGAGAGGAATCTTGGAGTCTTAGTGGAGTTTCTGGTGAGTTACGTGATTCTTATTATTTGGGAATTCATCCCCACGGAGGCTAGTGGCTATGTTATCTGATTTTCTCAATGGCTCTCCCTCGCAAACACTGAGTGGATTGTTTATCTAGCTTGCAACACTTTTACGAGGTGTGAAATGCTCTTGGCTGAATGCCCAGAAGTTCAATTAAGCCTATTAAGAGCTTTCCCTTGCTGCTTGTCTTTCTGAGGTTATTGGGAGCTCTTGGAGCCCCGCAGGGTCTTAGCTAGGGGCTCTCCCGAGCCCTTACGAGCCCCCAGCAGCCCACCCCTGCATTCACCCTACACGCAAAACATGCATACTTTGAACCTTGATTGTTTTGTTTGTTAAACTCAGAGTATTGTGTGAATCCAAATCCTTTTACAGGTAGTACCCTCAGGTTACAATGGCGCATTCCGCGACCATTCAAATTATGCCAGCATTGAACAAAGGGGACTTATGACTGGTTCTGTTGCAGCATCCTTGTGATCAAGATCCAGGTGCCTGGGTGCTCAGCTCACAATTACGATAGGAGGGTATGTGTGGCCATAGGATCGCAACTGATGATCTTCTCTGCCAGCTTCTCACAAGTAACAGGGAACGTAATAAATAGATCCCATAAGATGCTCCTGCTGCATTTTCTCCCAAGGAGCCCCATTATGGAGTACAAGATCCCAGAAATCTTATATTCTGTAACATCCCTGCTCACTTGCACTTCGTAGTGCCTGCCCACAGCCTCCTCTAGAGTTGAGCCCACCCACACTCAGCGCCCACCCATGGCCCTCGCCAGCCTGCTTGCTTAGGACTCAGTCACATCATCATCATCATCTTTTAATGACCCCATAATCCCTTGTGGGGTGGGGTTGGGGCAACTGAATGGAGTTGAGTGTTTACTGGCTGGATGCTCTTCTTGTCTCCAATGAGGAGTTATATCCAGCAGACATAATCTCAACATGCCCAGAGAGAGAAATATCTGCCTCTACCTAGGATCGAACTCACAACCTCCTGATTGTGAGGTAAGAGCTCTACCTCTGGGCCACCACACCACCCAGGACTCAGTCACATGAGGTCCTCTTTTAATGACCCCTTTCCCTGGATTACAACTGGGACTGCCACGGTTGCTGTCCCTAAGCGATGTGAGTACATGACGTCCTGCTTTATGACTGCATTATTTTACCGATGGAAATCCCCATCCCAAATTCCATCACAACCTGAGGACTACCTGTATTAGATTTTGGCTCAAGGTATTTTATAAAATTAGAAAACGAGTCAACTCAGTAGCTAGTTAAGTGAATTGTTTTAAGCAAACGTTCTTTTTTTTCCCCACCAACTTGTTGGAAAAGAAATGAGGAAGAGAGTGTCCCTTCTTTCTGCTCCTGCGGTTTTGTCTCCCCTGCCTCAGCATCGTATTGTGTGTCTTTCGCCTCTTCTTCTCAAAATTATCTTTCTTTCTCTGTTCTCTTTTTCCTTTCTGCCATGCTCTCCTCCTCCTCCTCTCCTTCTGATGCTGTGTGGGGAATGGGCAGATTCTGACTCAGCCGACAAGAAAGGTAAGTTCTCAGCTCTAAATCTTCATGGAGTCCTTCTCTGTAGGCTTTAGTAGCAATGACTGAGACCAAAGGAAATGGGTGTGTGGATTGTTACCAACCGAGGCCTTGGTTCCTCTAACCCTCACCCGATTCTCTTCTCTTCAGCTTCAGGGCTGGCAGAATACGACTATCCAACTAGTGACAAAGCCCTGCTGTATGAGTATGAACATAAGGTAGGTGCAGAGGAGACCTTCTGGCCCTTTTTATTGCTGTTTATTACAATTAAAATGGAGAGAGAATTATATGGGCTCCTCTAGGGCAGTGGTCACCAACCGGTGGGCCGGGAAGCACTGGTGGTCTGCAAGAAAATTTTGGTGGTCCGCAGAGAAATGTCACCCCCAAAGCAATTAATCCAGGCTGCGCGGGAACACAAGGCTGCGCCGCCCACATGGCCCTTGGGAACACAAGGCTTGCATCTCTTGCATTGCGAACTACACGAGGTAGTGAGGGGAAAGGGGAAAGGGTGGGGGTAAATTTGCCCCATGCGCCCCACGTGCCTTGCCTGGCCACCGGGCTGCTTCTTTCCGCTTCTTTCTTCTTCTGCTTTTGGCTGCACGCAAGGAAAGCAGCAAAAGTCTTTCTTTCTCAGCCCCAAAGTCTGCCAGAAATGAGTCTTTGGGACCCTGCAAGGCCTCCGGCTCCAAGAGGCTGCGCCGCAAAGACTCCTTTCTGGCGGAGTTTGGGGGAGAGAAAGAAAGACTTCTGCTGCTTCTGCTGCTTTCCTTGCATGAAGCCAAAAGTCTCTCTCTCTCTCTCCCTGAGAACGGAGCTGGAGACAATATCCTGTGATCCCAAATAAAGAATGATCAATCGGTAGGAAAACAGGGTGGGGAATTTTCCTGCAGACTTTTTTTTGGATTTTCCCAGGATCTTTGGTCCGCGGGATTTAAAATTATGAGTTTGGTGATCCCTGAGGTCCAAAAGGTTGGCGACTCCTGTTTTAGGACAATGCTTCTCAACCTTGAAGATATACATTACATAAACCATGACAAAATAAATACAAAATTATGCATTAGATTGAAATTTCATTGCCTACAGCTCTCAAAGGGTCATCCCCTCCACTATGCACCATATAAACATGACAAAAATATAAATAAATACATAAATAATAAAATTATGTATACACCCACATATATAGACTTCGGACACTAGTGTCAAGCAAAATTGATGGAGCTGTGTTTTAAAAAAACCTTACTTTGTCCTGAGTAATTCAGAGCAATATTTGTGGTTTCCATCTCTCGGGGGGGGGGGGTGTTACCCCCTCCTTTTTATTATGTTGTTACGAATCATGATGCAGTATATTATTCAAAGGCAGTGAATGTTTATGTAACATCAAATTATTTGTTGTATAATAGAGGTTTTTGATTTTAAGCTGATTACTTAATATTGAGGGTTAATCTCATGACATCACTCAGAAAGAGGTCAGATTAGGAGACGGCTCCATCCACTTTGCTTGAAATTGGAGACCAAAGACTACCGATTCTCTTTATCATTTGATGTTCTAGGTCAGTGTTTCTCAACCTTGGTGACTTTAAGATGTATGGTCCCTTAACTGGCTGAAGCATGCTGGCTGGGGAATTCTCACACATCTTAAAGCCACAAGTGGGGGGGAAAAACCCCAATATTTTGGGCCATTGATTCAACCTGGAAAAATGGCAACGGGCTTCTTATATGCAGTTGATTTATTTATTTAGCATATGGCATATCATGCATGGATTAGCAATACATATTCACATTTCATCTAGATTAGTAAGAACACAATAAAATATAAATGTTAAAATGATCAATCTTCAAATACCAATGTCTAGGCCATCTAACCACTGAAGCATAGTTACTGGGTTAATAGATGCCCTCACCTTACAATGTGATCTACAGTTTGACATGGGGTCCCACAGTCACACTGAGGGGAGGATATTATGCTCCATTTATACATGGGCTCCCAACAGATGCCATGTGAGGTACAACTCTTATTCAGGATTGTCCATTGCTAATGTGGTAGTTTAAAGCCTGGCACATTTTTTTTTAAATGCAGTGATACGTACTGAGTCCATCTCTTTTCCATGTATTAACTTTGCTATGTCCAAGGAGACGTTTGAGCTGCAAGTGCTTTCAAAAGAATAATTGCTGTCTTGTGACGGTTGATGCATTGCCATTATCCCATTAGGTGGAGGACCGGGCCATGTTTCCCCATGTTCCACCTTGAAAAAGGGAAAATGCATCTCAATTTAGGTTAGATATTGGAGTAAGGGAGCTATGTAAAGGAATGAGATTGCAATTGTCTCATGTGACTGGAATGATTTTGCACGAAGAGGAAGAAAATGTTGCTGGATTACCCATCCAGCTTTGCACCCCTGGGACTGTATAACTTAAATCAAAAACCATCCCCCCCCCCTCCATCCCATAGGTCAATGTGTCTGCCTCAGATGTCAAAGGCATGGTGTACAAGTCCCAAGAAATACAACGGGATGAACTGGTAAGTAGCTTTCAAGGCACATTCCCTTCCACCTATCAAGTGGGCTTCAGCTCCCCTAATCTTCCTTGTGAGTCATGTCTACCCTGCCAAAAAAGGCCAACACAGTTCTAGGTTGCATTAATAGAAAGAGAGAATCAAGATTCCATGAAGTGTTAATCTATATACAGTATATAAAAGTGAAACACCCCTCACGCATCATCACAACATCTCCAGAACCGTAAAGCCTACAAATTTGAAATTTGGCACATATGTTCCTCTTGGCTTCTAGGTGCTCACTAAGAAAGGATTTTTCAAAATGACCATCAGATCATTAGTATTTTTATTATTATTAACATGCCCTGATGCTAAGAAGTTCTACTCCCCCTCCCCACCTGAAAAGAAATCTGTTCCAATTGCAAAACACAAGGAGAGGAGAAGAGTTATAGTTTCGCTTTTAGTTTCACAGCAGCAACCAGCTTTAGTACAGAACAGTTGAGCTAAGCCACCCCCAGGCTCCTTGCTGTCTCCTTCTTGCTCACAGAGCAAATACTGTTTCAGTTTCCATGTTTCAGTTTCCAAACAGCCCTCAACTCTCACAGTGATAGAACACTAGCCAGATGAATACCGATGGATGCTGGTAGGCAGAGGCAGAATTTTTTTTCCTTATTTTCATCCCCAAAAACTAAGCCCGATCACAGAGTTTCGTAGCAAAGCACGGATATAGAGGTAGTACCAATTTATAAATGCCCTGGTAAGACCACTCTTGGACTATTGCATCAAGTTTTGGTCGCCACAATATAAAAACGATGTTGAGGCTCTAGAAAGAGTGCAGAAAAGAAGCAACAAAAAATATTAGAGGCTGGAGGCTAAAACATATAAAGAACAGTTGCAGGAATTGGGTATGTCTAGTTTAATGAAAAGAAGGACTAGGGGTGACATGACAGCAGTGTTTCAATATCTCAGGGGCTGCCACAAAGAAGAGGGAGTCAAACTATTCTCCAAAGCACTGGAGGGCAGGACAACAGCAATGGATGGAATGGAAACTAATCAAGGAGAGAAGCAATTTCAAACTAAGGAGAAATTTCCTGACAGTTAGAACTATTAATCAGTGAAACGACTTGCCTCCAAAAGTTGTAAATGCTCCAACATTGGAAGTTTTTAAGAAGAGATTAGATAACCATTTGTCTGAAACAATTTAGGGTTTTCTGCTTGGGGTTGGACTAGAAGACCTCCAAGGTCCCTTCCAGCGCTGTTATTCTCTCAAAAGTCTTCTTCAAACCAAGAACCAGACTAGATATAACAATGGTTCCCTGCTAAATTTCAGTGGCAGCATTATATTGCTCATCCCTGGTTTAGTACATAGCCTTTAAAAACTATATAAAAACACAGATGACATGGGGTCCAATCTATACTAGGATCCAAGTTTGGCAATGGCAGGGTGTTTTTAAAAAAATCCTTTAATCTTTTGGAAGCAAGAGACAAATAGTTTCAAACTAAATCCAAGTGCTAAGCTTCTTTCATTGGTTTTAGTGCAAAGCCCCACCTTGATGTAACCATGGAAAACTTGACATCCCACTTGGTCCAGAGAATTGTGTGAAGTGCTCTTCATACAGAAACCTTTAAAAAAAAAGGTTAAAACAGAAAAGATAATAGGCAAAACTCTGGTTTCTATCACCTCTCCAGTTCATTGTGTGTAAAAGTGGGGTAAAACTTTTAAGTACGGGACACTTGGTGGGTCTGTGTTTGTTTTAATTTTTTTTTTTAATTTAAATACTGAATGAGCCACCCTGCAAATGAACCCCCATCCTTGAGTAAGTTCACCTCTTCTGTGTTTGTCTTATCCTGCCTGCGTGGTTGTCCTCATCTATTGGGCCCAAGATACGCAACCACCCAAAAGAACAAGAGAAATTCCATAAAAGCTATCTCCTTATTCCTGAAAATGCACTAATGATCAAAAATGGCAAGAACAACGTCAGAAGGTTGGCTACAGTGCTCCTTTCACTAGTTCTGTAAGGCAGTTTCATATATTCTGGCCACTTTTAACAATATATCATCTACGCTAGGGTTTCCCAGGCTTGGTATCTTTAAGAGCCTCTGTGGCACAGTTGTTAGAGTGCAGTACTGCAGTCTACTTCTGCTGACTGCCAGCTGCCTGCAATTTGGCAGTTCGAATCTCACCAGGCTCAAGGTTGACTCAGCCTTCCATCCTTCCGAGGTGGGTAAAATGAGGAGCCAACATTGTTGGGGGCTGTAAAGCACTGTAAAGCAGTATATAAGTCTAAATGCTAGTGCTATTTAAGACCTGTGGACTTCAATTCTCAGAATTCCCCAGCCAACATAGTTGGTTTGGCTGATCTACACAAACATTATCCTCACATTATGGAGGAAAAAGAGGGTGTTTAGATTCAGAATTTCCATTCCGGGAATAATTCTGTATGGAGACATATGTCACACATGCATTCACATCTGATTAGACTTCACCATAAACCTGCAAATGTAAGTTTGACTGGAGCATCTAAGCATCTAAGCCAGGAGTGTCAAACTCAATTTCCTTGAGGGCCGCATCAGGGTTGCTTGACCTGGGGGAGCAGGGGGGCATGGCCAGGAGGCGTGGCCAGCTCGTGTGGCCTTCTCAAGCTCCATTTTCACCGGCAGAGGGCTGCAGGAGGCCGTCATGGCTGAAAACGGAGGTCCACGCGCGGCCCTCCCGAGCTCTGTTTTCACTGGCAGAGGCACCGCGAGCTGGTCCTTCGCTGTTTCCAGGGCGGCTCTGTGGACCAGCTCTAAGCATCCTGCAGGCCAGATGCAGCCCATGGGCCTTAAGTTTGACACCCCTGATCTCAGCAGTCGTAGCTGATCTTGGAAACTAATTGGAATGAAATCTGGTTCATACTTTGGTGGAGATCACCAGAAAATACCATCACTGTAGACCAACCTGAGGATTGAGAAAACATCCTTCTATATTGTTGTCAAGAGCAGGGGTCTCCAACCTTGGCTACTTAAAGACTAGTGGACTTCAACTCCCAGAATTCCCTAGCCAGCAAAGCTCTGGGAATTGAAGTCCATAAATCTTAAAGTGGCCAAGGTTGGAGACCCCTGGTCAAGAGATAGATAGGAGAGGAGAGAATATTTGTAGCTTACGATTGAATTGTGCGGTTCTTGTTGCTCTCTGAGCTTGGTGGTTTCCTTGCAGATGTTTCATTGCCAAACTAGGTAACATCATCAGTGCTGTTGATGAACTATACAGAACTATACAGACATGTCCGTGAAATCTACAGGAATCTAGCTTGCCTTGAAAAAGGCCTGGCTACAACTTGAAGAAACTGCTTTGCTTACATCTGTATATTTTAGATAACCAGGCCTCAGCTTAGTCCCTCTTGGCCCCTAGTTACATGCATTATTTCCTTTTTGTTTGGGGCTGCGTCAATGTTCATAGTAGCATCCTATAGAGATGAGAGAGATCACGTATTTAGTCCCATTGCTGCCAATCTTCATCAATGACATTGGTTTCAAGTGCCTGGGGTTTTCAAAAGTATACCATTTAGAGGGCGGGTTGTTTGGGTTTTTTTTTTTTTTGGCAAGGTGGGTTTAAGGAAGCTTGTAGCATCTGGAAAATGCCAAAAGGATCTTTGCAGAGTTACAAGCCAAACAGATATTTGACATCACCAGCTTTTGACTGGGAATTAGCTAGTTTCAGATCTTCTTCTTCTCTCTCTCTCTCTTTCTCTCCATGAAAATTGATTGAATGGCAGTGCCTAGCATCTCTTTGGCAGGTCCCTGTTCAACCGTGTAATAATTCTGAGATGTAGGGTTTGGGGTGGGTTTTTTTCTTCCTTTTCTCAGACAGCAAGGCACAATCGCTTTTCTTGAATTGGGTGTTATTGTTACAGCGAGCTCATATTATGTGTTATTTCAGGACTCTTGGGAGAATTCCATCTGCTGCCGGTGATTTATGAGTTTAATCTATCTGTTTGTTCTAAGGTGTCCTCTAAAGATGATTCAGTTTGTGTCACTTCTTCAGATTTATTGCCTTGGTGGAGAATAATTTGGATCTATTTTGCCAACCTTGCCTTTGTCTTGGGCAGATGCAAAGCAGTCATTTAACTTCTCAGTAATATTTCTCTCTCCCCTAAGTGCTCTTTTTACATCTAATGACCCAAACCATTATGTCTGGCAGACTTCCTGCTTCTAATGCAATCCTTTTAACATTCTTCTCCTTGGCTTTTATACCTCTTATCTAGATTATATTTTCTTTCTTCTTTCTTGGCCCAACCTTATTAGGCATTTTATTATGTTTCAACTGATAGTATTTCAATTCTTTGAGGATTTTCCCCACATGGGCAATAGCTTTATTTTTTTTCCCTAAGGGACACATTTTTTAAATTCTATTTAGTCACTCCAATGTTTTCTTTAAAACTGTCTTTGAAGAAGTCAAGCAAGCTCAAATTTGTCAAGCTGTGGCTATATTTTTGTGCACAGGTGGTTGTTGTTTTTTGCATATATCTTAATGGATGATTTATAATTTGTTTTACATTGAAACAACAACTATTGTAGGCGTTGGGAGCTGCAAATATTTGTGACTTTCGTGTCAAGCTCTACAGTACACTTGGCTGAATTGGAAGTAAACAGGAGCAGTTTGAAGCCGTCAGTTTTAATTATCTTGAGTGCTTACAGTAGAAAGGTGGTGCTTAAATCTAGCGAATATATATACACGGCTTCAAAATCCAGCTTGCTCAGCCATTATAGAAAGTATAACTGGGGAGTTAATAGCTCCAGGATAAAGGAAAAGCTTCAAGGCTATTCAAAGCTGAGTTGCAAAACGCAGAGAAAATAGATTTTCATATCCATATGCACAGCTGGAGCCTTCTCAAAGCAGCACACAAATATATTAAATCAGGCTTCCCCGGCTTTGGTGCCCTCCAGCAATGCTGAACATCCAAAGCCTAGAAAATTCCCAGTCCGCTCGGTTTTGTGAAACTGAAGACCCAAATGCCTGGAGGGCATGAGGTTTGGAGAGGTTG